CCTCCCCACCATTTCCTGCCCACCGTCTCCATCCCATCCCCATCCTCCTACCCACCTTCTTTTCCCCTCTCTTCCCTCCTTTTCCCCCTCGCCCCCCGCCGCCTCTCCCTGAAGCAGAGGCTACTAAAATCCTGCCTTCGCTTAAGTTACCCACATCACTCCACAGTCACTTCCCCACCTTCTCCTTCTCCTCTCCCCCACCACTACAAAGTGTGGAGCAGGGGAGAAGGGTAGAGCCGGCTTTTGTTGCCCGGCGTGTAAAGTCGTCGACTTTGACCCTTTCCTGCCCTTCCACCTGGCCTTGGCTCACCTCCCCCCCACCTTCTGCTCCTCACACTAATGCAGAGCCTACTGCGGTGAAGCAAGCGACGAGAAGGGTAGAGCCGGCTTTCGTAGCCCGGCGCGAAAAGTCGTCGACGTCGACCCATCCCTGCCCTTCGACCCGGCCTTAGCTCAAATCACCTATATCCCCTCACACTTCCTTTCCCACCTTCTCCTCTCCGCCTTCTGCCACCTTCCCGCTTCCTCCTGCACAGAGCATACTACAAGTGCGGTGAAGCGAGCGGCGAGAAGGGCAGAGCCGGATTCCGTTGCCCCGCTCGTAAAGTCGTCGACGTCGACCCGTCTCTTCCCTTTGACCCGGCCTTGGCTCGCATCACCTACAGCCATTCTCACAACCATCCCCCACCCTCCACCTTCGCTGGACGCCTCCGCCTCCGAAACAGCACCATCGAGCCTGGCGACGCCGAGCCTGGTGCGGCCGAGCCTGGTTCCAAGCCTGGAGCTGCCGAGGCTGGCGGTGCCGCCGAGCCTGGCGGCGGTGGTGTGGAGGAGGATGTGAGGATGGAAGAGGGAGGAGGAGGGGGGGAAGATGCGTCTGCTGACGCCGTCAGTGGTAGTTGTGCTGCTGCTGCTACTGCTGCAGACTCTGCCGCTACTGCTGGTGCTGGCGATGGTGCTGCTGTTGCCACCACCAGTGGCGGCGGCGGTGGTGGTGGTGTTGGTGGTGGTAATGAAATTGACGTTAGAATGGGGGGGTTCGAAGGGGCGGGGGAGGCAGGAGGGACGGTTGAGATGGGTCAGAGGGTGCAAGCAGCACTTAGTCTGCAGCAGCACCTGACTTTTGAGTCGACTCAAAAGTCACCTGGGATGGGTCCAAGGGCACAAGGAGCACTTAGCCTTCAGCAGCAGTTGCACCAGCTGCAGCAGAGACAGCTGGTTCAGCAGCAGCAGCAACAGCAGGATCAGCGACAGCAGCAGCAGAAGCAGGATCAGCAGCAGCAGCAGCAGCAGCAAGAGCAGGAACAGCAGGAGCAGAAACAGCAGGAGCAGCAGCAGAAGAATGTGCAGCAGCAGCAGCAGCAGCAGCAGCAGCAGCAGCATTTTCTGTCGCTTCTAATGGCATCCCTTCAACAGGGAAGAAACACCTCCGCTACAACCGCCGCCGCTGCTGCTACAGCCACTGCTGCTGCTACAGCCGCTGCAGTCCCAACAGTCACAGCAGCAGCTACGGTAGGTACTGCCAATGCCCGCACTAATGCCCCTCACCTGTTTGGTCCCACAGGCAGCAGCAGGACAAGCCTCGGCGCTACAACTGCGCTCAGCACACCTGCTACAGGCGCCCTTGGGATTGGCGTGGTTCAGGGAAGCACCAGCGGCGGCGGCAGCAGCAGCAGCAGCAGCAGCATGGGGGGTGTGGGGTCGCATGCTATGCCGAATTCTGCTCCTCCAGTGGCCCCTCCTGCTTGGTTGCTTTCCCTGCTTCAAGCCTCTTCTGGTTCTGCTGCTGCTGCCCCTGGTGCTGCTGCTGCTGCTGCTGCTGTTGCATCTGTTGCTCCTGGTTTCACTCCTCTGATGATGCCTCGCATAGCAGCAGCAGCATCTGGAGCAGCACAGCACACACCCCAACACCCCACACACACAACAACACGCACAACAACACTCACAGCGACACTCACCCCCTCTACACTCATGGCCAATACAGTCACACCTTCAAAACCCTCACCATCTCTGGCAGCAACGCTGCTGCCTAAGATATCCCAAGGAATCGGCCAATCGTGCGATCCGCTGATGTCACTCGTGCCGCCCGCTTTCTGGCCCACAATGGCAGAGTACATTGCAGCTTCGGGGAAGCTTCCCAAGTGTGTTGCCCCTCTGGGATTGGCCGTTGCCCACGTTGCAGCCCTGTCAGTAGGCTTATCCGCCATGTCAACGAGCGGAGCAGCGAGCAGAGCAGAGGGAGCGGCAGCAGCAGGAGGAGGCGGAGAGAGAAGAGGAGATGAATCAGCAGCAGCACCACCACAACCAGCAGCGGCAGCAGCAGCAGTGTTGCCAGCGGTGATAGCAGCAGCTAAGACGTTGGTTGCAGAGGCAGAGGCAGCAGCAGCAGGGCTTGTGGCAGAGGCACTGAAGGCCTGTGACAGTAGTGGGGTAACTGCCTCTGCCCCTCGTCCTTCCGCTCCTCCCTCCACTCCTCCATCCGCTGCTGCCGCTGCTGCTGCCTCCGCTTCTCCCCCTGCGGCTGCTGCGTATGCAGGCAGTACTGCGTATGCTGCTTTGGGCTCAGCGGAACAGGCAGCACTGCGTGCCATCCTGGCAGCAGCAGCACACGTGGCACCACAGCAGGCGACAGCTGCAGCAGCAGCAGCAGCAGCAGCAGCACACGTGGCACCACAGCAGGCGACAGCAGCAGCAGCAGCAGCAGCAGCACACGTGGCACCACAGCAGGCGACAGCTGCAGCAGCAGCAGCAGCAGCAGCAGCACACGTGGCACCACAGCAGCAGCAGCAGCAGCAGCAGCATCTGGCACGGCACTTGGTAACAATGACACTCACATGAGTGCCCCGGGAAACGTCATAGTTTTGAGTCAACTCAAAACGCAGCAGGTGACAGCAGCAACATCTGGCATGGCACTCCCCAACAATGACACTCACATGAGTGCCCCAGCGGGTGTAGTTCTCGACACTCGTATGACTGCTCGCGGCAGCTTAGGCGTTGACACCCACATGAGCACTGAAGCAAGCGTGAAGATAGAGGCACAACAGAATGCCCCGGCCACTGGGGGGTTTGACGCTCACATGAATCACCGGGCAGAGGGAGGGAACACGGGGCACATGAATCACCGGGCAGAGGGAGGGAACACTGGGCACATGAATCACCGGGCAGAGGGAGGGAACACTGGGCACATGGGTAGGCACGTGGGCAGACACGTGGGCAGACACGTGGGCTATCTTGCCATTCCCTCTCGCACCAGGAACCCCTTTGCACCGAGCTCAACCGGGCAAGCCTTGCCTCGAATGAGCCATGGTCTCATGCCTTCCTCCTCCTCCCCTCTCTCTGCTCCGTCGTCTTCATTTCTCTCACCTGGGAGCAGCCCAATCGGCCAGGCAACAGAGCGTGGTCTACAGTACCAGCAGCAGCAGCAGCAGCAGCAGCAGCAGCAGCAGCAGCAGCAGCAGCAGCAGCAGCAGACTTCACCCCCATACCGGCCCCTGTCTCCCCTCCCTCCCCGACCCCCCTCTCCCTTCGCCACCGCCACCCCAACTCTCTCCTTCTCACTCTCTCTCCTTCCTTCTCCTCCCGGCAACAAGGCACGGGGGAGCGAAACCCACTCGTCCTCGTCACCATCACCATCACCCATTGGTTCATCTCATGCCATGTCTACTACCCCTACACAGGCTACTCCTACACAGACTACCCCTACGCACACGACCCCAACGCACACTAACCCAACCACGCCAACAAATGCCACTTCAATGCTGGGTGCCAGCCTTTTACTGTCACCTGATGTTGTAGCGGCAGCAGCGGCAGCAGCAACAGCAAGGGAAGCGCCGGGAAAGGCCGAAAACGCAGGGGCAAGCAGTAGCAGCAGCATCGTAAAGGCCCTAGAGCGAACACTCTCTTTAGGAGACAAGTCATCGACCATCAGTCGCCTAGGCCTCACTCGAAAAGATGCGACCGCTCGTAAACACTTCCCACGCAATTCCTCCTCCTCCTCCCTCTCCACTCACTTCCTCTCTGCACACTCTGCCTCTATCCAAGCCAACTCTGGATTGGCTCATTCCCTTCCGAACCAAGCGCTCCGGGCAAGTGCTGCATCGCCGGCTAAGAAGCGGAAGAGTGTAGACGGGGGTGCTTTGGATTGTTTCCCCGGGCCTCTGAATGTGAGTGGGGGTGGTATGGAGGGTTCCTTTTTGGGAATGTCACTAGCTAGCTATAATGGCGGTGACGTTCGTTCTTCTCACGGTTATGGGGAGGGTGCGCAACGAGACGATGGGCTAGAAGGGCAATCGAAGGAAGATGAAGGGGTTGCCCATGCTCCTATGGAAGGCATAGATCTGGCTCTTAGTCTTGGATAGACTTATTATTTATACATATATAATTACTGATGTGGATGTGTACGCTTTCCAAAAAAAAATCATTTTTGTTCACATGATCACTGCGAAATTGTTGCGCAGGGGCTTGTTTGCTAAGCGATTTCAGGTTTCTAACTGACTTCAGCTGTTCCCGCGTTTGGTTGCTGTGGGCTCGTTCGCGGTGTGGCGCCGTCGCCTGGTCGGTCGTCAAGAGTCGCCTTTTTCTACAAACCGTCGGTTCATCAAGTCGCACCCAATCGCAAACGTTGCACCGTGGTTCTGTTTGGGCCGTTGCTGGCTTGTGAGAAGAGAACGACCTCAAATTTCTTTCGCTCTGACCCCGCCAAAACATGTTTCGTCGTGCCGCTTGGAATTGGTCAATTTGCCCGGTCGCCTTGCGCCGTCGCCCATTTCGGCGACAGTGATTTTTTTTCGCAGGCGAAGCGTGTCCACCCCACCTCCATACCTGACTCCTTGACCGACCAAGCAACTGGAGCTTCGAGAATGCCGCCACACCCAAGCCACGATGGCTATCCCAAGGGCACACGCGTTTACATTTCGAGCCGCGCATTGAAAATGTCGGAGGCGTGGATCTGGAGCCGCGCGAATCTCCCTAGTTTTGATTTTCGATCAGGCCAAGCAGCAATGCTATCGGCAGTTCGCGAGAAACTAAGTTGTTCAAATAGCCATGAATGTCGCAGCATAGTCATTCAGCTAAGGTTGCAACTCCTCAGTTCTGTTTCCTTAGCTCTCCAGTCAGATTCAGTTCTCACCTGCCATTTCTACCGCAAATTCGTACTTGGTGATCCGTTCCTTGTAGCTTTTCCTTCCTTCAAGAGACTTCGTCGCCATGGCCAGGTTTCTCTCTCTCGCGCTTTTGGCAGTCCTCGTCGTCGGGGTGGTTACTCCCCTGGAGGCAGCGCCGAAGATGACGCTGTACGAGAAGAATCTGAACGACGTGATCACCGTCGTGAAGGCGAAACCGGGTTACAAGGCCTTCGCATCTCTCGTCGGCGCAATTCGTAAGTGGCACATACTCGGTTCCGCGTCAGTTTCGCTTGACGAATTCGTGGTCGTTCTGTCAAAACCTTCACTTTTAGCGAATATCTAAAGCAACTTTTATTTTCCTCTTTACTTCAACCCTTCCCTCTCGCTTCCCCACCCTATCCCTCCCCCCCCTTTTCTCCCGATTCTTCAACCACAGTGAAGCAATCCCAGCTGAAGAGTCTCGTCCAGCAGAACCTGACCATCTTCGTTCCCAACGACAAGGCGCTTAACGAATTCAACCTCACGCAGTACGCGACCGCCGACCTCCTTAAAGTCGTCAAGTACCACGCCGTCAAGGGCACGTACACTTTCGCGCAGCTCCAGACTCTCGCCGCATCTGGCGGGAAGCTCCAAACGACCTTCAGCCAGCCGATCTCGCTTACCAAGGCGAAGAAGGGGATCGGCATGTTCGGCATGGAGAAGATCGGCGCCGCTGTCCTCGATAAGGACATCTCCATTAAGCCAACTGTGGTTGCGCACGGGATTTCCCGGGTGCTTAAGCCTAAGGGGTTCGTTATCAAGGGCGCGGGCTCGGCTCCCTCGACTAAGCCACCCGCGACTGGCTCTCCTGCTCCTAAGACCACAACTCCCAAGACTCCTAAGACCACCGCTTAAAATGGTGCTTCAAGAGGGTTTTCTACTCTCATGCCGGGAAACGGAGCTACTATACTGTAGCCGAAGACACGTGGCTTCTGACAACGTTGCTGGCTACATATATCCCTTGTCGGAAAGCCAAAAATAAGGCTAATACGTTAGATCTAGACGATAACGTGCAGGCAGTGCTTTGTTGCACAGCCAGTAACGTGTACGCAAATGATGTTTAATTTCATCGTATTTATTGTTCGTTTTTATCTCCAATCAATATACAAAGTCACCACAAGAAATCCAAACCCAGTCTCACATAATACTCAGTGCTCAGGTAATATGGTGAGTATTGTAGTGCGTACAAGAAACAAATTGTGCTTTGCCTTTGGAGGAATGCGGAAACTCGCTACAAGATGCGTTCATGCGATCGACTGATGCGACATCGCGATCAGTGGGACGCATGCGATACTCGCAACAGGATCCCGCCATCTTCTCTGCTTGGGGTATGTTTGCACACGACAGCGACGATAAAGACGATTCGCCACGTATTGCTGTCCGCTATGAAGGCCTTGTTGATTACTTTTGGTTACAACCGTGTTTTCGCCAAAAGAAATTTTGTTAGCTGTGCTGTTACGAGTGCTCAATGTGGCTGACGATACCAACGAAAGGTTTTCTCACTAAGAGGCTTCACAACAAAGTGCAATACTGAAGTGAATCCCATCCCGCTGCTCCCCCATTTCGAGGTTCTCCCGGGGATCACCGCAGGGGCTGACGGCGGGGGTGGCGGAAACGACCAGATTGGCGGAGCTCGCGGGTCGATCGACGGAGGTGAAACGGGGAGTGGCAGGGCAGCGCGGGGGGAGACGATCGCGGAGGCGGGAGGAAAAGGTGGAGGAAATGGATATGAGGGGGGCGTCATCAAATTCTTGGGGGACAGGGGGGAGGAAGAGTGGTTGGGAAGAGGAAAGAGAGAGAAGGGTGGTGGGAGGGGGGCGCTGTGTGAAATGCGAGGGTGGGATGGGATAGGTGTCGCGCTGTGTTGGAGGGGATTACTGTGGTGATGGGAGTTGTGGGGAGGGGTGAAGGCAGGGACAAGGGAAGAAAGAGAGTGGTGGGGATGGGTTTTGGGGGGAGGTGAGTTTGAGGGGAGAGTTTGAGGTGTACGTTGAAAACTCTTGGGATTTTCGGGTTTCGGGTTTCCATCTGCCCAATTCAGTTTTTTGAGATGTCTCAAATCACTTGAAAGTCGAGTTTATGGTTTCCATCTGCCCCTTTCAGAAGTTGCTTATGCAACGTGTATATTGCCAATAAACGCATATTTCAAGAAATATCACCGTTGTCAAGGCGAAGCCCGGTTACAAGCCCGGACGCATGCGTCACCTTGCCCCTCCACTTCAATGCCAGCTCGCTCTGTCTTTGTTGACCGACCAAGAAATATGCGTTTCGAGAATGCCGCCACACCCAAGCCACGATGGCGATCACAGATGCACCAAACTGAAAAACATTTCGAGACGCGCATTGAAAGTTCTGGAGGCGTGGAGTTGGAGCCGCACGAATTTCCATGGTTTTCGAACTGACGGAGCAGCAACACCACTGTTGGAAAGTATGCGAGAAACTTGGATGTTGAAATAGCCATGGATGTCCCAGCATAATCACTCAGCTAAGGTGCCAGTCCTTCTCACTTCCAATTCCTTAGCTCTTCCAATTCCTTAGCTCTTCCAATTCCTTAGCTCTCCAGCCGGATCCAGATTTCCCTGCCATTTCTACAGCAGATTCGTACTCGGGGCTCCGTTCCTTTTCCAACTTCGCATATTTTCCTTTCCTTCTTTAAAAAAACTTCCCAGTAGTCGCCATGGCCAGGTTCCTATCTCTCGCGCTTTTGGCAGTCCTCGTCGTCGGGGTGGTTACTCCCCTGGAGGCAGCACCGAAGATGACGCTGTACGAGAAGAACCTGAACGACGTGATCACCGTCGTCAAGGCGAAGCCCGGTTACAAGGCTTTCGCATCGCTCGTCGGCGCAATTCGTAAGTGGCACATACACGCATTCCCCATAAGTTTCACTTGACGAATCCGTGGTCGTTCTGTCAATACCTTGACCCGCAGAGAATCCCTAAAGCTAACCCTTCTTTCCCTCTTTACTTCACCCCTTCCCTCACGCTGCCCCACCCTATACCTCCATCTTTTTTTACTCCCGATTCGCCAACCACAGTGAAGCAATCCCAGCTGAAGAGCCTCGTCCAGCAGAACCTGACCATCTTCGTTCCCAACGACAAGGCGCTTAACGAATTCAACCTCACGCAGTACGCGACCGCCGACCTCCTTAAAGTCGTCAAGTACCACGCCGTCAAGGGCACGTACACTTTCGCGCAGCTCCAGACTCTCGCCGCATCTGGTGGAAAGCTCCAGACGACCTTCAGCCAGCCGATCGCGCTCACCAAGGCGAAGAAGGGGATCGGCATGTTTGGCATGGAGAAGATCGGCGCCGCTGTCCTTGATAAGGACATCTCCATTAAGCCGACTGTGGTTGCGCACGGGATTTCCCGGGTGCTTAAGCCTAAGGGTTTCGTTATCAAGGGCGCGGGCGCGGCTCCCCCGACTACTAAGAAACCCGCGACTGGCTCTCCTGCTCCTAAGACCACCGCCCCTAAGGGTGCTTAAAGAGGGTTCTCCCCTGACGCTGCCAGGTGTCGAGCGGGGGAACAGAGCTACTATACTGTAGCCGACAACTCGTGGTGTCTGACAATGGTTTTGGATCTACATAAATTCCTTGTCGGAAAGCCAAAAATAAGGCTAATATGTTAGATTTAGACGATAACGTGCAGGCAGTGCTTTGTTGCACGGCCTCTTATTGATAGATCTTTTTATTTCCAAGCAATGTCCGAAATTCACTACAAACGGAAAACAAACAAACCCAGAATCTCTGACTCTGACAGAATGTTACAAATACTTAGTACACATTATATCCGGATTTCTTTTGAAAGGGCGATCTTTTATTGCGTACATGAAACAGATCGTTTTTTGCGTTTGGGTGGACCTGGGCGATGCAGGGACCTGCTGTTCATTCATGCGACCAACTCATGCGACATCGCGATCAGTGCGACGCATTCACGCGACATTCATGGATCCCGCCATTTTCTCTGCCGGGAGCTTATTCGCCCACGATAGCGACGACGACGATTCGCCACGTAAGGCTGGCCGCGATTACTTGTAATTGTACCCGTGTTTTCGCGAAAAAAAAAACCTGTTAGCTGCGCCGTAACGAAAACACCGTAACGAGGTGGACCATACTACACCGTTACGAATTGTCTTGTAACAAGGATCACGACGCGGCTTCGCGACGTAACGGGTTTACTATTTCCCGCCGTTGGTCCCGCTGCTCTTCCTCGAATATTCTTAAATGCGACTCCCGCTGCTCCCCCGTTTCAGGTCCTTCGTGGGTTCCCGCAGGGGCTGACGGCGGGGGTGGCGGAAACGAGCGGATTGGCGGAGCTCGCGCGTCGGTCGGGGAAGGGGAAAAGGGGAATGGCAGCGCGGGGGGAGGCGACCGGGGAGGCGGGCACGCGGGGAACGCGGGGGAGGCGGAGGAGGGGGAAGCGGGAATGGAGTATGAAGAAAGGTGCCATGAATTCCCCAAGGGACAGGTGAGGGGGAGGGGAAAGAAGGATGTGGGGGGACGTGTGGTGACGAGCGGGGAGGAGAGAGGGGAGGGGTTGGGGGAGGGGGGTGGGGGGAGGGGGGGGGGAGGGAGGGGGGGGAGGGGGGAGAGTTGGGGGGTGTGCCGTCTGGAAAGCGGAGGTACGTGTGCTGTGCTGTGCTGTGCTGTGCTGTGCTGTGCTGTGCTGTGCTGTGCTGTGCGGTGCTGTGCTGTGCTGTGCGGTGCTGTGCTGTGCTGTGCTGTGCTGTGCTGTGCGGTGCTGTGCTGTGCTGTGCGGTGCTGTGCTGTGCTGTGCGGTGCTGTGCTGTGCTGTGCGGTGCTGTGCTGTGCTGTGCGGTGCTGTGCTGTGCTGTGCGGTGCTGTGCTGTGCTGTGCTGTGCGGTGCTGTGCTGTGCTGTGCTGTGTGAGTAGGGATTAGTGGGTGGGGGTGGTTGGAGGGGGGAAGTGGCTGGAAGGTGGGAAGATGGGAGGGGTAAAGGAAGGAGAAACGAGGGGAGATTTAGGGGGCGGGGGGACATATGAGGGGAGAATTTGATCCATACGTTATGAAAATTTTCCTCGAATTCGGGTTTAGGGTTTCTATCTACCTGATTTAAGCACTCCTAATGTTGATTCAGATTGTCATTTATTGCATCTCCATCCTTCTACACCTTGGGAATGTCGACGCCAACCTTTTTTGAGGCGCATCAAAACCCAGATGTTGAGTTTTTTTGTCATATATTGCAAGTCCGTTTATCTAATCTACACCTTGGGAATGCCGATGTCAACCTGCTCCAGCCTGTTGTTCATTGCTTCTACTGTACCCTTCTTCCACTCCTCAAGACCCTCGTTGCAGTCACCTTATATCAGGAGCTGCTTATGAGGGAGTTCTCCTTCCATCCAGTCAAAGCCAATTTGCTCCGGCCTGTTGTTTTTTGCTTCTATTGTTCCCTGCTTCTACACCTCAATACCCTCGTTGCACTCGTCGAGTATCAGGAGCTGCTTATAAGGGAGTTCTCTTTCCATCCAGTCAACGCCAACCTGCTCTGGCCCGGCGCCATGTCCTTTGCTGATTGGCTGGCCGCCCGCCCGCAAGTATTGGCCGGAGCAAGAGTTTTGGAGATAGGGAGGTGAGCGGGCTTCTATATGGGTTGTGTGGGCTGTGGGGGATGGGAGGGGGGAGGGGGACGGGTGGGAGGGAAGGGAAAGGGAGGTTCAGCCGGGATTTGTTGATTGCCTCATATGATCCCCCTTCGCTACTATTTATATTGGTGTTTCCTGTCATTTCGAATTTTGTGGTCTCAAAATTCTAAGCCTTGAATCCCACTATCTGTTGTGATTGTAACGAGGGGGTGCTTGCAGTGGGACAGGCGCGCTGGCCATCTTTCTGAGGAAGGCAATGGTGACATCACCACATGTGACTATAACGATGCCAGCATTGCAGCCAACATTCGCCACAACTGCTTGGCCAATGGCGTCCCACCACTGCCTCACATTCGACGTAAGCACTACCAAAAAAAAACCGAGTTAACATCAGCACCTGGAATTAGTATTTCTTTTCTGGTTTCACCAAAATGCCTTCGCTTTCTTTCCCCAAGCGCACGGAATTCCGTCTTGGTTCAACTTAAATATCATCAGGTTAACTCGATTGCCCCACTTATCCTTGTTTTCCTCATATGGGTGCATGAATGCATGCAGACACATGGGGAGAACCGTTTCCCATTGAGCAGCCATCATGGGATGTCATCATTGCCAGTGACATTCTGCTCTGTATGTGTCGTCTCGGGTGTCATTCTATACCACGCGTCACCCCACGTTTCACATTAATTATCAAAACTTGTCACATGCACTCTCTGATGTGCTTAAAAATTGTCTACCTCTCACATCTCTCCATGTGCATTTGACTCTTGAGTCGATTCAAAAGCCACGATTTCTGAGGCTCCTTACAAGTGTGCACCTCTCATGCCCCTCCGTATGCATCCGGGTCACGTGGCTCATGCCTTGATTCGTGATTGGTGGTTCATGCCTTGATTCGTGATTGGTGGCTCATGCCTTGATTCGTGATTGGTGGCTCATGCCTTGATTCGTGATTGGTGGTTCATGCCTTGATTTGTGATTGGTGGCTCATGCCTTGATTCGTGATTGGTGGTTCATGCCTTGATTCGTGATTGGTGGTTCATGCCTTGATTCGTGATTGGTGGCTCAAGCGTTGATTCGTGATTGGTGGTTCATGCCTTGATTCGTGATTGGTGGTTCATGCCTTGATTCGTGATTGGTGAATCATGCCTTCTTTGCAGATGTAAAAGAGTATCCCAACCTCGTCAAGACCCTCCGCTTCCTCCTCTTCGGCGCTCTGAAGTCACACCAAGCAGTACAAGGCAAAGCCGGTGTGAGAGCAGGAGGGGGAGAAGGGTGTTTGGTTGGGGAGAGAGAGCAGGCAGGTTGTTCACTGGCTGGGCTAGCTGTTTCTAAGGCTGCTAGGGAGACCGGAGGAGGAACAGACGCAGGTGAGCAGGCAGCAGCAAAAGAAGAAGAAGCAGAAGCAGCAGCAGAAACATCAGAAGCAGCAGGAGCAGAAGAAGAATCAGAAGCACCAGCAGCACCAGCAAGAGACGCAGAAGATGGTGCAGCTGCCCAAGCAGCTCCTGCTGCCGTGAAGGAAGTGGGAATGGATGCTGACGCAGGTGCTCCTAAAATGCAAGCGCAGGGGAAAGAACGTGAGGGAGGGCGTGGGAATGCAAGGCAGCGAATGCAGAAGCAGCAGCGCTGTAGGGAGCAGGCGGCTGCTGATCTGGCGCTGAGGCGGCCGTGTTTCGTGATGAGCTGGCGAAGGAGAATCCCGAGGGAGGATGAGGAGGGGTTCTTCGGGTTGTGTGAGGGGGCGGGGATGAGTGTGGAAGATCTTGGCTCTAGAGTGTTTTGTATTGCTCCTCTTGCTAATGAATGATGATAACCTTTCATAATGTACCAAATGTTTTTAAGCGCTTTGCACGTTTTTAGGCGCTGAGTGCGGCTTCTTCTATTTGCGGTACATTGACACTTGCAGCTTTCGCCGGATTAGAGTGAGTGAATGAAAAGCTTACAGATGCTGAATATCGATTGCCACATTAGTGTTCTGTTCATTGGGGTTCTTGTTCATGTGGCACTGGCACTGTAAACCAGATAGTTCAGTTTTTGAGACGTCTCAAAGGGCTCTTGTTCATGTGGCACTGGCACAGTAAACTACCGTAGATAGTTCAGTTCGAAGCTCAAACAAGGGAGCCTACGGTATTATTGTGTGGACCAGCAGGCTGACTACGTAACATCGTTACACACACCATCAACCTCGGGATTGCACATGCCACGCACAGGCTGTGCGTACCAGAAGCGGGCCCAGTTGTCACCGGAAGCTCGAGCACTCTCCTCGGAATTCTTCACACATTGGTACTGCCCCGAGCTGTCTCCATTCAGAAACTAAATCACAATTTCCTCTGTTCACTGGACAATGTTTAGAAGCAGGCCCAGTTGTCACAGGAAGCTTGAGTCCTCTCCTCCTCAGTATTCGTCACACGCTGGTACTGCCCCGAGCTGACTCCATTCAGAAACCCAAACACACTCCCCTTATGATCCACAGCATATCCACACTCCACCTCTCCTCCACCCCCCTCTCCAACCCTTCTCCCATTCCCCCCACACTCACCATGACGCTCACCAAACTCGGCACTCCACTCTTGGTGCATACTGTCACACCCACCCCTTGTCCCTCTCTCAAGATCGCCCGCAACAGCTTCATCTGCTTCTGGAGCCCCATCACATGACAAGCCAGTGTAGCCGTTGTTCATATAGCTCCATACAGAGGGGGTCTGCTGATTCAAGAGCTCCGGGTCCTTCTGAGGCGCCACAAAAGTTTCCCCATCCTCGTCCCCATTTCCACCACACGGCAAGCCAGTGTAACCATCATGCATGTAGGTCCACACAGAGGGGGTCTGCTGGCTGTATAGCTCTGGATCTTCCAGGCTGTCATTGCTGCTGCCACCATCGTCACTGCTGCTGCTGCTGCTGCCGCCACTACCGCTCATCCTGATCATGCTACTGCCACCGCCGCTGCCGCTGCTGCTGCTGCTGCCGCCGCTACCACTCATCCTGATCATGCTGTCGTTGCTGCTGCTGCTGCGGCTGCTGGTGCGATATGGGGACTCACTGGGTGATCTGCCAGAGGCAGTACTCCAGGAACTCCTGGTATCAGAGCCCTCCTCGCCCCTGATACTTCTATCACTAGCGGGGTTAAGTGCGGTTCCGCATGGTGCTGAAGTGTTTCCTTGCGAAGTTGACTGCGTGTTGTTGGAGATTGTCTGCTCCATTGCCTCGTACACCTGCAGAGGAATAGTGGGGCAATAGAAGGGGCAGGTGAAAACGTAAGGCAGGGCAGATGGTAAGGAGGCTGGGCTGTGCGTTGTCGGAAATTATCCGATCCATTGCCTTTTACACCTGCAGAGGGACAGTAGGGAGACACAAGAGGCAGGTGGAAACACAAGGCAGGAGAAAGTCAGGAGGTAGGGGGTGGAGAACGGGACAACGGAGTGCAGCTGTGTGTGTAAGGGCTAGTGCGGCAACCCACCACACAATGTACCATGCAGATGTAACTCGGAACTCAGTATCATGTGCAATGTACCATGCAGATATAACGTATTCTGTCCTGTGTCATGTGCCGCCCACACGCATGCAAAATGTACTTCACGGAATCGTCCAATCGGGCTTTGCTGCTTCCGTCCCGCACAAAGGGGGCCACTTCAAGTGCTGCAGCACACCCTACAGACACCTGAAATGGCCACAAGCAAATGCAAAACGGAAAACGACCAGCGAGTGAACCACCCAAGTAGCCTTGCTGCTTATTGCTCAGCAAGCCGAATCTCAGACCAGAAAAATATTCCCAACAAGAAAAAGCCCGGGCGAGGAAGTCAAAAAGCAATCGTATACACCAAGAATCGGGGGCATGCGTGCCGAGAGATAGCCTACAAGGCAAGGGAGTTGAAGAGTTGAGCTTTGGGGGGCGTCTCATAACGCGTTTCCAGTCACCAGACAGACTAGGAGGCGTGCAGCGAGAGGTGAGGTGTGAAGAGAGCTTACAAGGCAGGTGAAGAGCTGAATGAAGAGCTCTGAAGGACTGATGCTCTCCAGATACTCCAAGCTCTTTGCCCTGTTGAACATTCAAAGAACAGCCCGGGTGAAAATGGAGGAGATTGCTAGAGCGAGGTTGAGGAAGGTTGGTGCGAGAACAAGCATGTTGGCCGTTTGACATGCATACGAGCATATCACATGCGCACACAGCTCAGCAGCTGCTCAGAGGGTGCACAGAAACAATGACCCATGGAAGAGAGGCGACTGCAAGGGGGTCTTCTCGAGAATTCTCAAGAACACCCTGCAATTCAAAGCACATTCAAATGAGTTCGCTGTCGCAGTAAAGCATGCACTCACCCGGCCTCGCACTCGTCGAAGAGCGGCGGCCGCAGGAGGGTGCTATCGAGAATTTCAAACATACCCTGCAAATCAAAGCACGCCGGAATGCGCTAGCTGGCACAGTAAGCACTCACCCCGCCTCGCACTCGTCGAAGAGCGGCGGCTGCAGGAGGGCAGGCACAGGCTTGGCTTCGCTCCAATACAGCCTCCACTTGTTGTCTGCACAAAGGAGAAATGGAGCATGAGAGCAGGGAAGCGAGCGCGTAAACTGCCTGCAAAAATCTGCCTGCAAAAAACTGCCTGCAAAAAACTGCCTGCAAAAAACTGCCTGCAAAAAACTGCCTGCAAAAAACTGCCTGCAAAAAACTGCCTGCAAAAAACTGCCTGCAAAAAACTGCCTGCAAAAAACTGCCTGCAAAAAACTGCCTGCAAAAAACTGCCTGCAGAAAACTGCCTGCAGAAAACTGCCTGCAGGACAGCCACAGGCGTGCTAGGAGTAAGAGAGTAACCGGCTTGCTTGGAGTGAATATTTTCTGGTTCGCATGCAACAACGTGGAGGGGTAAGATGGTTCACTCCAGTGCATTCTCCACCTGTTGTTTGTCTGCACGACAAGGTACGAAAGACGCATGTTTAGCACAGGCCCATGCAAAACGTGGGCCTGTGCTCATCACACACGTGAGCGTGTTGGAGCTGAGCTCTCGCACAGGAGCCTGTGCTGGGCACGTGGGCCTGAGCTGGGCACGTGGGCCTGTGCTGGGCACGTGGGCCTGTGCTGGGCACGTGGGCCTGTGCTGGGCACAAGTAGGGGAATCACGCACCTGGGGCTGACATGCGTGTGCTCAGGTATCCAATCTTGCTGCGACAATTTCCTCCCTCACGCCCATCTTCCTCAGTCGACTTATGAGGCCCACTCTCCTCCCCTCCTGCTCCCCCACCTCCCATTCTGGTGGAAGGTGCATCGTTGGACCAATCAGCAGGCGAGTACCATCGCACGAAGTCCTCCAATATACATCCCGGATTCGCAGCCTGCACAGGCAAGACAACGCATGAATAAGACAACACGAGACAACGGACGAGAACTTGTGTACCTTCACAATGTTGAACAGCCAGCAGGGGTGAGTAGCAGCGCACAAAACCCTCCAACATCCACCCCAACATCCAACGAGACAACACGAAATTGCAGCCTGTTTATTGGGAGCGTCCGAATGTCGCATCGTGAAGGCCTGCATGTCGGGGAAGAGTCACTTGTGGGCAAAGCTGCGGCAGCCGGTGTCCATGACCGCCTCTTCCAGCTACGCAATATCAGCGGCCCATCCTGCACCCCTTGTCACCAGCAACCGCGTTTACGTCCCCCGCCACCCCACCCCCCACCACATACCTTGAACGCCTGCATGTCGGAGAAGAGCCTCTTGTGGGCGATGCTGAGGCTGCCAGTGTGTATCACCGCCTCTTCCAGCTCTGCCAGATACATACATGCTCGTCACCAGCGGCCCATCCTGCATCCCCCCCACACACATGGTAACCCCCGTCACCAGCAGTCGCATATACCCCCCCTCACCTTGAATGCCTGCATGTCGGAGAAGAGACGCTTATGGGCGAGGTTGAGGCTGCCCGTGTGAATGACGGCTTCTTCCAGCTCGGCCAGGTACAGGCTTGTGATCAGCGGCCCATCCTGCACCTCTGGCACGCACATGCGCGCCCCCGTCACCAGCAGCTGCATCCCTCCCGACTCGCCCCCAGGTTCTTCTCCCGTCCGCCCTGTGGGAGGAATCTTAGTCTCATTCTCGGTCCCAGTCAGGTCTGAAAGATTTCCTGTCGCAGCTGTTTCAGATGCGTCAGGGAAGCAAGCCCAGGAGCAGGAGCCGTTCTGATCACTCAACACACATCCGATCTCCTCAGCAAACCGCCTGGGCGATCCGCCTCTGGGCGACCCGCATGGCGGTGATTCCAGCGGTATTTCCAGCAGCACTTCTGACAGGTTATAACTCCCGCACGTCTTGCATAAAGTCGGCTCGAACAGCCCGAAATCCCCACCAGCTGTTTCCGAGAAGAAGGGGAAGCAGTCTGGCTGGTGCAGGTGCTGCTGCTGCAGGTGCCTCTGAATGTCGCTGCTAACTCGTGCCCTGCGCCATCGCTTCCTGGCCACGGCACAGTTGAGAACCTGCCACTGCTGCAGCACGCCACACACGCCCACGTCCGGCCCCTCCCTGTCTGCAAACACATGCGGGATGGCGATGCCCTCCTCCCACCGATCACGAACCTGTTGTTTGTGTGGGGAGTGCGTGGGGCGTAAGAAATACATTTTAATGAGGCGTGGGGCATAAAAAATACCTGAGGTCCCCTACGTTCTGCTCTCTCCGCTAACATGCCTCATGCACACACCTCATGCATGCATTCCGCATCCTCCCTTATGCATACTTCTTGCATACGAACCTCTTGCATGAGCTCCTTCTCGTACAATCCAGCAGGTGAACCACATACCTCATGCACACATACCTCATGCACACAACCTCATGCACACATACCTCATGCACACATACCTCATGCACACATACCTCATGCACACAACCTCATGCACACATACCTCATGCACACATACCTCATGCACACATACCTCATGCACACATACCTCATGCACACAACCTCATGCACACATACCTCATGCACACATACCTCATGCACACATACCTCATGCACACATACCTCATGCACACATACCTCATGCACACATACCTCATGCACACAACCTCATGCACACATACCTCATGCACACATACCTCATGCACACATACCTCATGCACACATACCTCATGCACACATACCTCATGCACACATACCTCATGCACACATACCTCATGCACACATACCTCATGCACACATACCTCATGCACACATACCTCATGCACACATACCTCATGCACACATACCTCATGCACACATACCTCATGCACACATACCTCATGCACACATACCTCATGCACACATACCTCATGCACACATACCTCATGCACACATACCTCATGCACACATACCTCATGCACACATACCTCATGCACACATACCTCATGCACACATACCTCATGCACACATACCTCATGCACACATACCTCATGCACACATACCTCTTGCATCACTTCAAGCCATAGGCGACCCATTTCTTCAGGCGACCCAATCCCCGCCATCAGCTCCGCCAGGCGCACTGCCAGGCTCCCCACAGGAGCGCCGTGCAGGGACTTCAGCACCAGCTTTCCTAACGATCCAGCAGGTGAACCACACGCCGTTGATGACGATCCAGGTGGCGTTTTCAACGGTCCAGATGCGTTTCTGAGACCGTTGCGGAGGGGAGGGAGGGAGATTCGGTCCTGGTCCAGGTCGGTTTCCTGGAAGCAGCAGCCGTGGTTGCTTCTTGGGGAGCCGTTGGATGAGGAGAGCTGAGAGCCGTTGGATGAGGAGAGGTGAGAGCCGTTGGATGAAGAGTAGTGGTTGGAGTTGGGGGAGAAGTTTGTGAGGGCACGCCAGCAGCCACAGGTGAATGCATCCATTTCCCCTGCTAGCAGCATGAGAGAATGCGTGGATTGCACGTGTGCCAGGTTTAGGATAATCCTAAAAAAACTGCTTCTAAGGCTAAGGATAATACCTCCTGACGAAGGGAGAATGAGAGCATTAGCAGGAAACAAACCATCTTTGTAAGGAACTGCTGGTCAACTATTTCAGGACAAGAAGGTGGATAAAAAAGCATGTTATGGCTCGTTGTGAAGGCACCTGATTTGAAGAGAATCCGAACCGCGTCCTCGTTTGAGCAATCCGAAAGGGAAGCTTCTATAGGCGGTGTTTCTGGTGTGGTAGCAAGAGGCAGCCATGAAGAGCCTTTGAAGGCCTTCTCAACCGCACGGAACAACACGCCAGAAGGAGAATAAATACTGTCCGCTAGCTCCTTCACGGATGTGTACGGTTCCGCGTCACTGTTGAAGCAAAAACACGGATACGAATATACGTTAAGGATAGAAACACTCAAAAAGAAATTTAAAATAAAAAGCTTACTAGCCAGGAGAGGGCAAATAAACAAAGGATAACAGCTGACCGGACGGCGTTCGCCAGGTTTCGCAGGAGGAAAGCACTTGGCGCGCTGCTGACGACACTGTCCAGAACGCTGTGCTTTTTCAGAGCGTACTGCAACGCTTGACTCGCTGACCTAATCTGCCGTTCCTGCACAGCCGAATCACGCATAACAGCTGAGAGCTTTCCAAAAAAAAAAAGAGAAAAACGACAGATTGGAAGCCTAGAAGTTGACATGGTATTCGTGTGAAAGATGGCGTCCTACCATTTGGTCGGAGGTCCATCCTGGGTAGCGTTCAATGGCGTCGACTGTCCTGAAGTACCTCTTCCAGAACTCCTCGTGGCTGAGCATCACTGGAACGAACTCCGCGTGAATCTTCAGCAGCTCATCGTCTCTCTGCATCACCGGAAACGTTCTTTAGGAAACGATGTTCTGAACACACCTTCGTTATTCATTCCCCAGAAAATGATGCGAGCTCGACTGAACAAGATCCATGCGGATGGAGAACTTGCAGGGTACTTTGAGAGCAGATTCAATGGCAGAATCAGACGGCATGCTCTCCGTTGCCCAGTCTTGGTCGGTGCACCAAAGGAAATCCAGCGGCCACTGCGAGCGAAACCACGGGATTTTGAGTCTCAATACAACATCGTATCAAGAGAACCGGAAACAGAACGACATCCTTCCATTGTCGCTGTGATTACCTTCGATAGGTCCGACAACCGGGAATCCATCTTTTATTCGTTTCAAGTAGTAGACGAAAGCTACGTGAAACGGTTACCAACCGAACGATGATATGTTTTCGAACACAGCTGGTCGCGACTAAACTAACCCTCTGGCAGATTCAATTTACTATTCAAAAGCCACTGCGAGGGATGAAGCTTTCAAAAGATTGCAGGCATTCGCGAGTGGTTGAACAGAAAAGCTAGAACCGGACTCCTCAACTACGAAAGCAGCAAGCTGAGTAGCTCCAGGACACTCTGACGCACAGATTCACGGGCCAAGAATCAGAACAGAAGCTCAATGGAACCAAAACCAGCTCTTCGCAACGACGACTCTGAAAGTCCCGGACGCTTGACGTCGCCATGCGCATTCCTTGTGACGGATGAACGTCCGCAAGACCCGCTCAAGCTCTCTGGGTTTCCGCTCCAGATTCCGGCAGCACCAATAATTGTCCAACAAGCGAAACACCGTCTAAGGCAATGAACGCGAATCTCTCCAAGCTTTTCTGCCAGCCACACCCACCCTGAAACTGTGTACCATGTTGGGAGCGCGTTGTTTTCAATGGATGTGTCACGGCCTGGTCCGGTTGATTGCGTCCTACAACGGTATCAGCTGCGAATTTCAACACGCTGACCAGGAGCACGGGGTGATTGGGGATGAAGGGAAAGAAAACAGCCACTGTAGAGGCGTGGGGTGGGACGGGGAGGGGTTCAAATGCACTAAGCAGATCTTCTGGCGGACGGGACTGATGCATCCAGCTCCGCCAGCGAACCTGACACACGATGCGGGTGGTCCACCACGCGCGTTCCTTTTTGGTTGATGGATCGACGACAAGCGCCGCGTGTCGCGGTGAGACATGGAACGAGGGAGAAGTGTACTCGCAATATATATTCAAGTTATAGTTTATTTTAAAATAATCCAGCACTCCAACTGCACTTCTCAAAACCACGCTCACAACCTGGCTAAGTAATAATAAGCCTGTGCACGAGTCCGACTAGCAGAGCTACTATATCAGGGCAACAGAAAGCTATAAGCATACAGTAGCAGCATCCCCATACGAACTAATTGAAGGAACTGCAGACGAAGGCAAAACAGCTAGGCCCAGAATTAGCAGCATTACCACAACTGGCAGCAGCAGAATAGCACTTGGAGGCGCTCCTAGGTTAGGCAGCAGCATTGGCACCACCAGCAGTAGCAGGAGAAGCACACCGAACGCCACTCTGGCCTGCCATGTCAAAGCCGCTAAAAAGCCGGTTTTAGACTCATGAGCAGAGACACCCTCCATACTTCCACTTTCCGCCACTCTTAGCAAAGCACTTGCTCCCCCCATTGATGTAACAGTACTACCAGATCCCCGCATGCTGACGTCTCGAAGGCCGCTCGCGCGATTAACACCGTCTCTCGTTCCATGCAACAAAGGATCTGATCCGTCGCCAGCCAATGGCAGTTCAGCTGGTGGGTCTGAATAGACACGATTGTAACGATAGCCGTTGCTTTCCCCGGAGATGCTTCGCTGAGCTGAAGCGTGACCAGAAGCTCCTGGTGATCGAACCTGTCGCTGCGAAACCCTAGTAGCATCATTAGGTGAGCCATTTTTCGTAAGAAGACCCAAATTACGGCGAGAAAACATGTCAGGAACGTGGCGCGGCGCAGATTCTCCGCGCGACGAAACCCGGAAAATGTCGGAGGCAGGAGCGCGAGAATCTGAGAGGCCGCTATAGGCTCCAGTCGACCTCGACCACTTGCCAGCCCTACCCCCACTTAGCCTTTCCGCTTCCTCCTCCATCAGACTAATGACGGGCTGGTAGTATTGTGACTGATAGCTAGAAACAGAACCTCTAGTGTGAACCATTGAAACGGTCTCAGGGGTGTGGCAACTCGAAGACGTCTGTCGAAATTACGAGAACAGGCAATCCTTGAAAGAGAATGCATGAGGCAGTGTGCTTTTAACTAAAAGATGTGGGAACCTGGGTTGGAGGGGGAGCTTGAGTCGGCCAACGCGTGGACACTATTTCAGCCATAAACGGCGGCAGGGGGGTTGATGCTTCTGTGGTGTTCTGCAGCAGAGCAGGCCCTCTTCTGACTTCGATGACGATATGATTTCAAGGACCTCCCTCTTCAAGCAGAATCAGAAGACGCACGCAGGGATCGTACTTGGTTCGGCTTGATGTGGTTCGGATTTTGCAGCGATAATGGGCGAACGGAGTTTGCGAAATCTGTGATTTGAAGAATCTATTTTCCACTTGGGTTGTTGGTTTGGAAAACCCAAGAGCCGAGGCTTTACTTTTGGTTTTTGTCTGCCCGGAATATGGCATTTCGGCGAGTTTGATAATTAAATTTGGGGTACACATTCAGGTTGGGGAACAGTAAATTTGGGGGTTTAGGCCAAATTTGGCCGTAATGTGGGATCAAAGGATACCCCTGATGCCCACCCAGGTGAATGTGCACCCCGGTTTTAACGGTGTAAATTGCACATTAGTTCGGGTTTAGTGCCCTTACAAATTAGTTTGTGAGGGCGAACCAGATCTTCGGAGCTGTATCAGCCAGACTCATTCAACCAAACCACCAACTGCCAGAATAGAAATCAGGCTTGTAAAGAAAGGCCTCACTTCACATACCTGACCAGCGAAGCGGCCCAATAGCAGGAGGCCTGGCAGGGATCACCCACACGTGAGACTTCACCACCGCCGTCCCCCGGCCAGCCAGCTCAGGAAATCAGACGGGTTCACAGCAGTGTACCTGTTTCAGGGTACGCCATACAAGAACCCTGATGCCTCAGGGCAGGCAGGTGTACACTACTCTGAAATCTCAGGGTGATAAAACACAGACATCCTGAAACCTCAGGGCTTGAAAAACTTAGACCCTGATTCTTCAGGGCAAGGAGGCTATGTCAACCCTGAAATCAGGGTAATCAGGGTATTTTACCCTGATATCAAGGGCCCTGGTTCACAGTATCAGCATAATGGCAAAACAGGTGTAGGGCACAACAGCAGTGTGTCTGCCAGTAATCACCATGCACTTCAAGAAATAATATAGGTGGGAAAATGAAAATACATTAAATAAGTGGCTTGGCCGGCAAAAGATCTTTTCATATATTAAGCAATCACAATCATGGAGACAGGTTTTCGCAATTAAAGTAATGATGCAGGCATTTTATTATTTGAGGTCTACACGTATGATTCTGATAAGGAAACACGAGGTACACGAGGGTGCGTACGTAGCGACCTCGGTTTCTCCCCACTGAATCCATCCGCGACTCTACCGCGGAAACCCCTAAAGCGGATCTCCGCAAGCGACCTTCCCCCAGCCACCATCATCCCTTGCTACTCAGGGAATGTCCGCACATTTGACTGTGGTTCAGTAGGTTTCAGCACGGTTAGACTCTAGTTTCCGCTGGTGACCGTAACGCATCGTTTTGAAACCCTGCTGACGCCCCTTCCAAGGAATACAATCCATTTCCCCCCTTCTACTGCCCTCCCCTCCACCCTCCCGCTTTCACCTTCCGCCATCTCTTCCGCCGCTTCCTGCTGAACATACTCTGCATCTGCTGCGACTCCGCCAATGCTGTTCCTCATCCTTCTCTCGCATCCCTAGGTTGGCAAGTTAGTAGATCCTAGATCTGTCATCGCCGCCTGCTTGGTCGATTACTTAGTAGGTGGTAGTTGGGTTCCTGCTTGACGAGCACTAATTCGTCGCGATGGATTCCCATCGCGTACTCGCGCTTCTCGCGATCGCTTTGTTTCTGCAGTGTTGCGCAGCTACAGAATACACTCACAAGGTGAGATTAGGTCTAGATCGTTGTGACTCGATCTGGTCAAGGCAGAATCTAGAACGTGCATTCTTAGGGATCGTAGATCGATTAGGGTCGATTCATACGATTTTGACCGTACGATTTGGATCTTGTCGTTTGCAGTACACGGTCGGAGATCCAGTAAGGCTTTGGGTGAACAAGGTCGGTCCATACAACAATCCGCAAGAAACGTACAACTACTATGAGCTGCCATTCTGCAAGCCTCAAGCTTCGAAGCGCGCCGAGCATAAATGGGGTGGCTTGGGAGAGGTGCTCCAGGGAAACGAGCTTATCGACTCACAGATGGAGTTTAAGTTCCGAAGTACGACAGTCAACTTACTGCTTCTTATTTATGCTAGTAATTTTCTTGCCGATGTACTAATGAGTGATTCTCCGTTCGCCAGTGGACATGCCGAAGCGAACTATTTGTTCAGACACTCTGAAAGAGGATACAGCGAAGAAGTTTAAGTATTCTATTGAGAACCACTATTGGTACGAGCTCTTCATGGGTAAGTTCAAGTTTTTAGAAGTGGATTTCTGTTCCGTTCTTCCGTTCTCAAGCCGCTGGTTCGTAACCTAATTCTGATATTGCTGTTCCGTTATGTTTGTTTCCGTCCTGGTTACTGTTCTGGTGCAGATGACCTGCCGATCTGGGGTAAGTTTTTTATAATTGCCAGCTCGTTATTTGAATACTGCATAATGACATAAATTTCATTGCCTGACGGATGCGGATTCTTTCTGTGAAATCAGGATTTGTTGGAGAATCAGTCCCTCCTGCTACTGAGAAGGCCGACGGTGCGTCGACAGCGGAAGAGCAGATTTTTATCTACACCCACAAGAGCTTCGACATTAATTACAATGGCGACCAAGTACGAGTTTCGCCATTATTTCGCCGTTGTCAAATCCTTCCAATTTCGCCATAAGTTCGTCACTGTCAAATCCTAGCATGCATATCCTCGTGAGGTATTTGTTTCACGTCTGGATTCGAGAGTAATCCGATAACCCGAGCGTCATCCCGTACATTATTTCAACATGTTCGATTTCACGAATCTGTAAATATCGCGCATGGCAGATCATTCAAGTGAACCTGACGTCGGAGTCGCCTCGTCCGGTGACACCCGGAACGAACCTGGAGTTCACGTACTCCGTCAAGTGGGAGCAGACGGACATTCCTTTCCGCAAACGGTTTGACCGCTACCTGGACTACAATTTCTTCGAGCACCAGGTGCGGATTCTCGGTCTGGATGACGATCTGTGCGTTAGCGGTCTGTCGTCGCTTTTTGCCACCGTATCCTACTTTCGATGTTTTTTTTCTCCCCACTTCCCTCCGACCTCTCCCCCCCCCCACCACCTTACCCCCCCTTCCCCCTTTCCCTCTCCTCCTCCCCCAATTCGTTCTCCCCCCGGTGCCTACGCGTCTATTTCCTGTTCACCTCCATCTCTTCTCCCTGTCATAGATCAAACTACTGCAATTTCACCTTTCGTCCGACCCTCTGACCTCCTGTCACCCTCTCATGACGCCATTTATCATGATGTTCCCTTCCGTCGTGTTCTGGCTTCTTGTCCGTCTATTTTTCCCCCTTTTTCCCCCCCCCCCCTCCTCTCCCCACCCGACGCCCCTCTCCCTCTATTATCCTTCCTTTTCTCTATCTTTCCCCTCTTTCCTCCCCACCCTCAAACACGAACCCCCCCTCCCCCCACACCTCTCCCCCCTCCCTCCCCATCCCAATCCCCCCTCTCCTTCTCCCCGCCCCCCTCTCCTCCCCTCCCCCCCTCCTCCCGTTGGCCGCTTTTGCTGTTGCGACAGATCCACTGGTTCTCCATCTTCAACTCGTTCATGATGGTCATCTTTCTCACGGGGCTCGTCTCCATGATCCTCATGCGCACGCTGCGCAACGACTACGCCAAGTACGCCCGCGAGGAGGACGACCTCGAGACGCTGGTACGTCGCGTAATGTCTCTGATGACATCTCTGGTATGTTTCGATAGTATGACTTGCTTAGGCATCTCATGAGCACGCTCCGTAATGACTACGCCAAGTATGCCCGGGAGGAGGACGACCTCGAGACGCTGGTACGTCGCGTGGTTGTTTGGATGTCGTCTCTGGTATGTTTTGGTTGCATGTCTTCCTGAAGGCAGGGTTTCTCATGCGCATGCTGCACAAAGAATACGCCAAGTACGCCAGGGAGGAGGACAACCTCGAGACGCTGGTACGTTGCGTGGTTTGTTCTGGTACATTTCAAAATTAATACCGGCAGCAGGCAGAACTCTCATGCACACGCTACGCAACGATCACGCCAAGTACATCAAGGGGGTGAGGATGGGTTGGGGGGGAGATTGAGGCTCTGGTCCGTGAATTGCGGCGTGATGACGTGAACGATGCGTGTTCTGCTCATGCGGATGAGGTCAGTGGCACATTCCAGACTTGCATTGTACTTTTCGAATAGGCTTGTCCCTCTCACGGTTGTTTCCCGTTTCAGGTAGGTATCAATAAATCCTCCCTGTATCTTTTTGTCCGCTGCTGCTCTCAGGAGAGGGACGTGAGCGAGGAGTCAGGGTGGAAGCTGGTGCACGGGGACGTGTTCCGGCCGCCCCGCAACCTGGTGCTGCTGTCCGCGCTGGTGGGCACGGGCGCGCAGCTGGCGCTGCTGGTGTTCTTCGTCATCATCATCGCCATCGTGGGCATGCTCTATGTGGGCCGAGGCACCATCGCCACCGCCTTCATAATCTGCTACGCGCTCACGTCTTTCGTTGGCGGATATGTCAGCGGCGGGTTCTACTCGAGAAACGCAGGTACTTACCGCGCTCAGGACTTTCCGCGCGCAGGTACTTTCCGCGCTCAGGACTTTCCGCGCGCAGGTACTTTCCGCGCTCAGGACTTTCCGCGCGCAGGTACTTTCCGCGCTCAGGAGTCGACGCGGGGTTTTTCCTAGGGATGCAGGTACCGATTTAGGTCATGACACGGCGGTAGAGTAGGAGGGAATGGCTACAGTGCGGGTACCAGCCTAGTCCTGAACGCGTCATCATTATTGTGATCGTGGGCATGCATATGTCGGCCGAGGCACCATCTGTTACGTGCTTACATCCTTCGTTGGCGGATACGTCAGCCGCGGATCTTACCCCAGATATGCTGTTATGATTATAGTTTACACTCAGCGCTGACATAGGGAGTGGCTTCAGTTCGGGTTCGTCTCGCTATTAGGGTTTGGCGAATGTGTGGGAAATGGCTGCAAGTCGTGTACATCTGTTGGACAGGCAACAGTTTTAGTTTCGTAAACAATTGTAGTCAGGAGATTGGCTCTATGTAGGGTCTAGTTCAAGTGAGGATACGACTTCATCTAGGTTACGACAGTTGCCACTTCATTGGAAGTTACGATCGTAGCGAGTTTATAGTCTTACCTAGTGTGCGGATTCGGCCAGCAGATGGTTCATGCAGCGCTGAATGGCAGCAGGGTTGATTCAGGTGGTGTGTAGGCGTGACGAGCCGTAAGGTATAGCCATTCAAGGAGAGAGTGTCTAGAGTCATTAGTTTTGGATACCGCTCATAGTCTCATTCTTTTCTCATGCTGTGTTCCTATTCCCCCCGTTCCTATCCCCTTTGTTCCTATCCCCTTTGTTCCTTCATGCGGTGTTTCTATCCCCCGTTCCTGCTGTGTTCCATCGTTCAAACCTACTGCAGGGAAGCACTGGATCAAGGCCATGCTGTTGACGGCGTCGCTCTTCCCCTTCACGTGCTTTGGCATCGGCTTCATCCTCAACACCGTCGCCATCGTCTACCACTCTCTGGCTGCCATTCCCTTCGGCACCATGGTCAGTGCTGTTGCTGTCATTCTCATTCCCATTCCCATTCCCTTTCCCATTCCCGTTGCTCTTCCCATTCCCATTCCCTTTCCCATTCCGATTCCCTTTTTCATTCCCATTCCCATTCCAATTCCGTTTCCCATTTTCATTCCCTTGCCAATTCCTGTTCCCATTCCCCTTCCCCTTCTCCGCTCGTGTTTTTTAGGCAATAGTCAGCAATACTGCTCCAGAATGTGTAGTTTGTGGACTTGATATCATTCCCATTCCCCCATCCCTCTCCCCCCATCCCCACCCCCTCCTCTCCCACTCCGTCCGCTTCTCTACTGTCCGTTTGAACCTTTCCATCTATGCCCCTGCTATCCAGTTCCGTTCACCCCATGCTATTCATATGTGTGCTACACAGAGTTTTTTCCAGTTATGTGCTGAACTCTCCTGCCGAACTCTCCTCTTCCCTAATCCCCTACCATGACAGCTGATGGTGTTGGTGATCTGGGTGTTCTCTCCTGAAAGCTTATCAAACCGTCCTTTTCCCGTCCCTCCCCTCCCCTCCCCTCCCCTCCCCTCCCCTCCCCTCCCCTCCCCTCCCCTCCCCTCCCCTCCCCTCCCCTCCCCTCCCCTCCCCTCCCCTCCCCTCCCCTCCCCTCCCCTCCCCTCCCCTCCCCTCCCCTCCCTCCTCTCCTCTCCCCTCCCCTTTTCTCCCCTTCCCTCCCCTCCCCTCCCCTCCTCCGCTCCTCCCCCGTCCCTCCCCATGCCATGGCACATCAGGTGGTGGTGCTGGTGATCTGGGCGTTCATCTCCTTCCCCCTCGCCACGCTTGGCACAATCGTGGGGCGCAACTGGAGTGGCACGCCCGACAACCCCTGCCGCGTGAAGACGATCCCGCGGCCCATCCCGGTGAAGAAGTGGTACCTGACGCCGTGGGTGGTGTCGCTCATGGGCGGGCTGCTGCCGTTCGGATCGATTTTCATTGAGATGTACTTCATCTTCACCTCGTTCTGGAACTACAAGGTAGGCCTCCTCCCAGTGGGTGTGACTGTAGCGAATGAAGGGTCACTGCAGGTAATGGGTGTGGCTGTATGGAATATGTGTGATTGTTGCAGATACATTGACGGGTGAACATGAGAGGGTAAAACATGATATGAACTGCCTTAAGCAAGGCCACCCAACACTCTTCACACCCCACCCACCCACACTCCCCCCCAATCCCCTCCTTCCCCCCCTCCCCACCCCAGCCACACTCATCTCTGGTCATTATATCTTCCAACCCTCCCTTCCCCCCCCTCTCTTACCCACCTTTTCTTCATGCTCATTAAAGAACCCCCTCATTGCCTTCTTATTCTTGTGCTATCGCAAATGCCGCCCCTCCCTCCCCCTCCCCCTCCCCACTCCTTCTCCTTTCCCTACTCCCTTGCTTCCATTCTTTCCCCATCCTTCCTCCCCTCCCTTCCCCCCCAGGTCTACTACGTGTACGGGTTCATGCTGCTGGTGTTCCTCATCCTCGTTATAGTCACAGTGTGTGTTACTATAGTGGGCACCTACTTCCTGCTGAACGCCGAGAACTACCACTGGCAGTGGACCGCCTTCTTCTCAGCCGCCTCCACCTGCATCTACGTCTACCTCTACTCCATCTACTACTATTTCATTAAAACTAAGATGACCGGGTTTTTCCAAACCACCTTCTATTTCGGATACACCCTCATGTTCTGCCTCGGGCTCGGCATTCTGTGCGGTATGTGCCCTCTTAAGCCTCTGGATCCCCGCCCCTTCTTTACTTTTATCAGCCAACACATTTTTCTGCATGGTACCCCTGTTACCCCTCTTCCCCCTCTTCCCCCTGTTCCCATGCACTTCTTTCCTCCCACCCCTTCGCTCTCGTACCCCCTCCACTTGCACCTCATCCCCGCGAGTTCTCCTTCCCGCACGAATACACCATGTCATCAGCTCCCCCATCCAAGATCTATCCCACACTCCCTCCCTCCACTCAACTACCCATGCCTTCACCAGTGGTTCTGAGCTAGACTCAAAGTCCTTTCTCCCCCGTCTCATCCTCCTTTTCCCCGTCTCATCCTCCTTTTCCCTGTCTCATCCTCCTTTTCCCCATCTCATCCTCCTTTTCCCCGTCTCATCCTCCTTTTCCCCGTCTCATCCTCCTTTTCCCCGTCTCATCCTCGTTTTCCCCGTCTCATCCTCCTTTTCCCCGTCTCATCCCCCTTTTTCCCACTGTCTCATCCCCCTTTTCTGATCACATTCCCCCATCAATCCCCTCACCCCTTCCACAACGTCTCTTCCAACTACACGCACCAGGTGCTATCGATTACCTGGGATCGTCCATGTTTGTGCGGCATATCTATCACAATATCAAGAGTGTCTGAGAGCCGTGCTGAGTTGATGATCTATTCCCTGTCCCACACCATTCGACCCTCCCTCCCTCCCTATCCACGACTTCTCTTCCCCACGTTACACCACTTTTCCTCCACAGGTGCTATTGGGTACCTGGGTTCGTCCATGTTTGTGCGGCGTATCTACCGCAACATCAAGTGCGACTAAGAGCCATGCGAGTGACTGAGTAGCATGCCCATGAGCATACGCATGCATGTTCTCCGGCTGCTGCTGGCAGCATGGACGGCATGTGCGTGCGCCCTGTTCGTGCCCTTGCATACCTTAGTGCTCGTGTGGGCTGCCGTTACAAGACGATCCTTGAAGTGAAGATCATGCAAACACGAATGCAACAAAAGCAGTGGCAGATGGGTCAATATTCTGAATTTTGGAGCTGGGTTTTCAAAGGCTTTCTTGTTTGTACTGGAAGAAGCGATTATACTCCCCTTCCCACTTTAGGAACAGCAGTGTTAGTTAATATTCATTTCTAACAATGGTACTGTCACTTCCAGATAGCAGTATGAATGCCTCTACAGTAGTACCAACTTTGTGGTGGGAAGAAAAACTAAGTCAGCAAAGGTACGGTAGTCTTACAGCATCGATGTCAAAAATAGTAACATAACCATCCCTAACACAAGCAACTTTGACTGGCACTGCAGCAGTGGGTACCTCTATATCAGCTTTCCTCACACTTGCGCGTGCTGCTGCTGCTGCTGCTGAATCATAGCCGCCCGGTGCTGCTGCTTCATCCACACCCGCTTCCCCAAAGCCTGTGAGATGTGGTGAGAGTGTTCCAGGAGGAGCCGTTTCGAGGAAGCCCTTTGCTGTGCTTCCTTGCTCTGAACCAGCGCAAGAGTGTCCCAGAAGCCGTTTCAAGTCCGATAAGGATGGGAAGGGTGAGCTGCAAATGGGAGAGAGACAGTGACGGTGCAGGGAGCGAGAAAACGTGGATGGGAAGCTGCTGCAGCTGAGAGTGACCTTTGAGGCGCCTCAAAATGCCCCATGAAAGTGGGCGACAGTGATGGTGCAGGGATTTGGTATGGTCAGACATTAATGTGAGGGTATGATGAGTAGCGAGGGAAAGTGGAAACATCACACAAGCACATGGGGAGAGGATTGAGATTAATCTGAATTCATGGCAGATATACGGTATATGGTACGCGGGCACTGGTAGGGAGCGAAAAATTGGTGGACAGGGGGAGAGGAGGTGTGGGGAAGGGGGGGGGGAGAGGGAGACAGGGAGAGGGGGAGAGGGAGAGGGAGAGAGCTCACCTTGAGTCAACAACAGAGAGCAGGAAATCTGGAGGGCCAGGCAGGGATTTTCTGAATCGTGCATTGGGGTAGTAAACATCAAACATGGGCTTTAACCCCTTCTCTGGAGAATTTCCCTCCTCCTTCCGTCCTTCTTCAGCTGGTCTATCAGCTTTTAATCTACACATTTTTGCCTGCCCCTCCTGTTTCACTCCTCTGCACCGTTCTGTTTCCATTTCCGGCTTCCCGCATTGACAAAACTCTGTCTCCTTCTCACACTCTCCCCCAGACGAATTTGAACCCTCAGCTGCACTTTCTCTGGATACCGAGCCTGCTGGTCCAGTTCGGGTCCAGGGCACGCCGTGCCGAGCCAGAATGAACCCGAGCCTGCGCAGGTGCGCGTAGGCTAGGTAGGCGTTGAGGGAGCATCCGAGTAGAGGGGAGTGCAGTGCGTGATAGAGGGATTGGATGGGAACGGGGCAGCCGGATGGGGAGAGGAGCAGCAAAGAGCCTTTTTCCATTAGGAACCTGAGGAGAAGGGGAGTATTCCGGGAGGTGGGAATGGAGGTGGGGATGGAGGTGGGGTGGGATGGAGGAAGGGGGGGAAGGGGACAAGGGACAACAGGGGACAAGGGGGGAATTGCTTAGTTAAGTGCCTTGCAGTGCCTCTTCAATGTGCAAGAGTAGCCGCTGGAGCCTAATGGTCCCTGTGCTGCCCCACCACTTGCCGCGCTGCAACAGCACCTCCACGTGAATGGGAAGATCACCCTCCCGCTTACAGCCCTAAGTAGGAGGAGGCGCCTTAGTCTTAATCATTGAGGAGGGATTCTTGACTGACTTACAGTGCCTCTTCAATGTGGCAAAAGAGCCGTTGCTGCTGGACGATCCCCGTGCTGCCCCACCACTTGCCGCGCTGCAACAGCACCTCCACGTGAATGGGAAGATCACCCTCCCGCTTACAGCCCTAAGTAGGAGGAGGCGCCTTAGTCTTAATCATTGAGGAGGGATTCTTGACTGACTTACAGTGCCTCTTCAATGTGGCAAAAGAGCCGTTGCTGCTGGACGATCCCCGTGCTGCCCCACCACTTGCCGCGCTGCAACAGCACCTCCGCCACACACACTGACGAACCAGCTGCTGCACACAGAGAGTTGCTGGTCTCATGGAGAGGTGGGTGAGAGGAGGTGACGACTGGAGGAGGCGACCCCGTGTCGAGGCTCCCATGTGCTATCCACTGCACGACTGATGCCTCTTTTCTGCACATATGCATGCACGTGCACCCACGCGCACATACATACGTTCACCCATGCACATGGGTATCCACATGCACTCATGGGCACATGCACATGTGCCTTTGCACACGCACACGCACATGCCATGGACATACACACACACATTACATGCACATGCCACATCCCACATGCCACATAACACGCACCACATAACAGATGTACAAAACTAGTGTTGAAGTGTAACCAAAATGGTTGCGTTCCGATAAAGCACCACCCATAGAAAGACTCAATCACTGCATCCCTGCAAGCAACCGCCTTTGTTGTTTTCACCTGAGAACCACCCTGGGCTGTCTCAGGTGCCGGTACAGTTCTTCCAGCTGCTGCCTTCCCATCCCCTCCTCCTCTTCTTCCTCCTCCTCCCCATCTCTCTCCCCTCTCCCTTTCCCCCCTTTCTCCTGTCCCTTGCTCCTCTCCAACACCCCCAGCAACGCTCCCCCCACGTCCATCCCCTTATCTCCCCCTCTCCCCCCACCTCCGCCCCCTTCCCCCGCTTCCCCCGCGTCCCCCGCGTCTCCTGATCCCGCCTCTCCTGGTTGATCCCCTCCTTTTTCCTTCCCCATATCCCCATCAGCACCCTTTCCGCCCCCTGTCCGCGCAAAAGCCTCCGCCTTGCCCCCTTTGCGGAACAGAATCCGTCTTCTCTCCTCCGCCAATACCTCCTCTTCCTTCTTACCCTCCCCCACTAAACCCTCAACCCCGCGACGATGATCCCCTCCCTCTTTCTCTCCCACTGCTCCGTTGCGCGCGCGCCCCCTACTCCCACCATCCCCCTGATTTCCGCGTCCGCCGTTCCCCTCCTGCTGGCCGCCCGCCGCATTAGAGCCCTTCCTTTCCGCCTCCCGTTCCGCCTTCCCCTCCGCCTTCCGTTCCGTGTCCGCGAGTGCAACGTCCAAACCCTCCTCTCCTGCCGGCATAGTCGATCGTTTCAAGACTAAAACGCGCTGCAATACCTCCTCGCGTCACCGCGCAGAAATATAAACCGCGCTGCCTGTAGCAAGCAGTCAAGCGGGTAACTGGTGCATAAGAATTACGCAAAGCGCGCGCGTATAAGACAATCAAATCCTGTCGCGCCGATGACATGTATCAGAGAGGTAGTAACCTCAGTAACCTAGACAGAAATGTTCCAGAATTTGGGCCAGCTGGGCTTCGAACTCGGGTGCGGCGTGGGAGGGATGCTTGTGCCGATGTTGCGAAAGATTTCGCAAACAGTCCTGCGTACCTGAGCGAAACGTCACACGACTTCGCTTCACATTCCTGCAACCGAACCGTCACTCACAAGGACGTGATCGATTTTTGCCTTATAGCAGGTGCTCCGTGGCAGATGTTAAGTAAACATTTGTTATTATTCAGTTTCGTGATATTTCAGTCCGTAGTAACAGCTAGAGTTAAAACATTCTTGCAATACTGAGACGAGCCTTTAAAACAGCCTTCATGTTAAACAGGCTCTTCTGACTAGGTTCGCGCGAGCTTGATACCCCCAGGAGCATTGGGATTGCAGTTACCTCCTTCCCTTCAACAAAATTATTTTAGTAGCTGGTTCTAGAATTTAGTTTCTCCCTCCCAGCCTTACTCCTGTCGTGTCGGCGAGCATTCCTTGTGTCGATTCTTCAAGTCTAGAGACACTCGTCAGTATAGGTTACCAGAGCGTGATCCTGTTAAATAATCAAGCTGTTTTCTCACAGCAAGCAAGTGCTTCTTGTAGCTCTGTAACCCACCTCCTCACCAGTGTCCAGGGTCCTTTTGTCGCCTGCTTGCGTTACGATGTTCTTGATGGGATATTTGTAACCGCAGTAATTGTACAGCCTAAGTATCGCCATGATCGGCGCTCCGTGTCTCGAGCACAGCATCCATGAGGCGTTCGACAGCACCGCGAATCTGCTGCTATCCTCGCTGATGAGTATCTTGTCTTAGATATAGAACCCACCCGGCGTTTTTAGTGCTATCACTCGACTTGCAGCTACGCGAAGCGTTTCTCGTCCCCGTATTCCGCGGCTTGCAACTCAAACTTCGCACTGTAGCAGGCTGCTGCAATGGACGTGACGGGTCTCCGGCACCGCATCCATGAGGCGTATAAGAGCACGGCGGAGCTGCTGCTATCGGCGCGCAGCGCGACGGCCTTCGCGGAGAAAGGCGTCCTCACGCCGGACGAATTCGTCGCGGCTGGCGACAATCTGGTGGCTAAATGTCCCACGTGGTCCTGGTGAGGTAGTCTGACGTGACACATGTCTAATTCTTTTGGTTGGCTCATTGAGCATTCCGCAACTCCACCCCTTCGCGGAGAAAGGCGTCCTCACGCCGGACGAATTCGTTGCGGCTGGCGATAACTTGGTGGCCACATGTCCTGGTGAGATGCTCTGACTTTTGATGTGTCTGACATCTGATGCACTGACGTCTGATGAGCAGGCGAATATCTGGTCGCCACGGGTTCCCACGTGGCGTTGTGAGCTTGTCTGACGTGGCTCTTGAGGTCGCTGATTTGCGGGTTTAATGATTCGAAAATTGGTAAAAGTTCCCTCTGGTGTTCTTCCCCTTCTAACTTGTGTTTGTCAGGGAAGGAGCGGATCCCTCTCGCCGAAGAAGCTTCCTGCCTGCGGACAAGCAGTACCCTCATTACTCGCAACGGTAGGCTCTTCCTCATCTCTCGGGTGTGACAGCACCGAGATTACACTCCTGAAATGTCTCCCTCTCAGCAGCTTTTGAGTCGACTCAAAATAGATTACACGATTTTTGAGTCGACTCTAAAATAGATTACACGATTTTTGAGTCGACTCAAAATAGATTACACTCCTGAAATGTCCCCCTCTCAGCAGCTTCCTGCCACCTGCGAAGCAGTACCTCATCACTCTCAACGGTAGGATGTATCACAGTCAATGGTAGCTTCTCAGCAGCAGCTTCCTGCCACCTGCAAAGCAGTACCTCATCACTCGCAACGGTAGGTTAGCAACCTTCGACTTGACAAGTCTTGCAACAGTTGCTAGCAATGTTAGCTACTGTGCCCTCCTCACCTCCCTCCCTCCCCACCTCCCAGCACTCACCACCCCATTTCTAATTTCCCCCCGCCTCCGCCCTCCCTGTGCAGTCCCCTGTCTGAGGCCAGTGGGGGCGATGGGGGAGGAGGTGCTTCTGGCTGCAGTTGCTGTGCGCACATTGCGGCTCCTCCCTTCCTTCCTGCACTCGCCTCTCCTTTTCTGAACCCCCCTGTCCCCTCCCCCCCGTCTCCCCCACCACTCCACCGTTCAGTCCCCTGTCTCAGGCGGGTTGGGGCGATGGAGGAGGAGGTGCTGCTGGCGACAGGTGGCAGCGAGACATTGGTCGATGCTGACGTGGACGGGGATGGCAACGACCCGTGGGTTGCCACGTCGAAGCTCAGCGGTGCTTGTAAGCTTGAATGGCTTGACTTGACTGGTTTAACTGGCTTGCCTGACTTGATTTGCTTGACTGCCTGACTCTCTCCTCCTGTCTCCCATTCCTCCATGCATCGATCAAGCAGCATGCGCAGCCTTTTGAGTCGACTGAAAAGTTTTGAGTAGACTGAAAAGTTTTGAGTAGACTGAAAAGTTTTGAGTAGACTGAAAAGTTTTGAGTTGACTGAAAAGTTCTGAGTCGACAGAAAAGGTTTGAGTCGACTGAAAAGTTTTGAGTCGACTGAAAAGGTTTGAGTCGACTGAAAAGTTTTGAGTCGACAGAAAAGTTTTGAGTCGACTGAATCTCCTCCTGTCTCCCATTCCTCCATGCATGGACCAAGCAGCATGCGCAACCACACAGCAGGAGTCACTCCCCTCCATCGACGCAGCAGCAACCCCAGCAGCCGGAGGAGGAGGGGAAGGCGGGGGAGCGGGAGCAGGGGGAGAACTGCTGGAGGAGCAGCGGGGAGAGATGAAGAGGAGGATGTACCTGACATAGCGGAATTCGATGATGTGGATAATGTCATCGATGCCGACCCTGTGAGTGGCTGTGGGGCTGTGGCTGTGAGTAGGAGGATGTTGTCCACCAACCCCCACCCCCCAGTTCCCCTCCCCTCCTCCTCCTCCTCCTCCTCCTCCTCCTCCTCTTCCTCCTCCTCCTCCTCCTCCTCCTCCTCCTCCTCCTCTTCCTCCTCCTCCTCCTCCTCCTCCTCCTCCTCCTCCTCCTCCTCCTCCTCCTCCTCCTCTTCCTCCTCCTCCTCCTCCTCCTCCTCCTCCTCCTCCTCCTCCTCCTCCTCCTCCTCCTCCGCCTCCGCCTCCTCCTCCTCCTCCTCCTCCTCGTCCCCTCCTCCTCCTCCTCCTCCTCCTCCTCCTCCTCCTCCTCCTCCTCCTCCTCCTCCTCCTCCTCCTCCTCCTCCTCCTCCTCCTCCTCCTCCTCCTCCTCCTCCGCCTCCTCCATTCCCCTATCGTCGCTGTGTGCTACAGGCGGCGCTACAGCTTGGGTGGCGTCCCATGTTGTCCCTTGTTCCCTGCACCTCTCATTCCTCCCCGCTCACCAACGCTCACCAAACCCCTCTTTTTCGTCCACCAACCCTCCCTTAACCCATTCGCGTTTTCTCATGTTCTCCCGCCTTCCTGCTACAGGCGGCGCTACAGCTGGGGGGAGGGGGGTATCTAGTTGCAACAGAGCCGGAGGATGACCATATTCTGCAGACCCGCACCTACGACCTCACCATCACGTACGTTCACACGCTCTCTGTCAGTGTCTGTGCCCCATCTCGTGGGTTGATTCACTCTGTTTCACTATTCATGCGCCATCAGAGCCGGAGGATGACCATATTCTGCAGACCCGCACGCACCTACGACCTCACCATCATGTGCGTTCACACGCCCTCTTTCACTGTTCCTACTCCATCACGTGCACTCACTCACTAACTGTTGTTGTGAAAATCTTCTCGCATTCATTCTGCAGACCCACGCCTATGGCCTCACCATCACATGCATTCAATCATTCTCTTTCGCTCTCTTTCATTCTCTTTCACTCTCTTTCATTCTCTCACTCTCGCACTTAGCACGTCACGGATCTCTGAAGAGTGACTTTGTTTCATTAGCTCCTCGTTATTGCCCCCTCCCATTCCATATTTGCCTGAAACTGCAACCAGATACGACAAGTAATACCAGGCTCCCAGAATCTGGCTCCTTTGTAGACTCGCACCTAGCACCTCACTTACTGCTGACACCTCTCAAAATTTACTTAAGCAAATTGTATCTTCCTTCTTCCTCCCTCCCATTCCATCTGTGCTTGAAACCCCGTTTAGATACGACAAGTACTACCAGACCCCAAGAATCTGGCTCTTCGGTTATGATGAGGTAAGCTGAGTGCTGAAAGCCAGTGAAAGTAGTTGTATTCTGAGACGTCTGAACAGATTTTCACTTTCATGCATTTATTTTCACTTACAATGAGGCCGCTGAGCTTTGATAGACTCTACTTGCTCTCCGCTTTGCTTGCTCTAGTGATTTCCTGTCTCACCTTTCGATTTGTCTTTCCATTCCCTCCCCTGCCACCTTTCCCCTGCCTTTCTTTCTGCCATTTCTGTCCAAACCCGTTCCCGTTATTCACATTGTTCCCATCACCGCAGGAACGGCAGCCTCTGGCAGCAGAGAGGGTGTTTGAGGATGTGAGCCAAGACCATGTGAAGAAAACGGTGAGTGATTGAGAGTATAAAGGGGTGGTGATAGCGGTGTGGTTATGTTTTTCATGGCAGCAGAGAGGGTGTTTGAGGATGTGACCCAAGGTAACCATGTGAAGAAGACGGTGAGTGTGACTGTAATGGGGTAATGGTAACGTTGAGTTTGGTGGGATGGGATGTGGTTGGGTATTATGCAGTCATATTCATTGCTCATCCACACCTCAAGTCACATCAGGTATGCACGCGATTTGATGTTATCTTATCTGCTGTGCTGTGATGTGCTGTGATGTGATGTGATGTGATGTGATGTGATGTGATGTGATGTGATGTGATGTGATGTGATGTGATGTGATGTGATGTGATGTGATGTGATGTGATGTGATGTGATGTGATGTGATGTGATGTGAGGTGAGGTGAGGTGATGTGATGTGATGTGATGTGATGTGAGGTGAGGTGAGGTGAGGTGAGGTGAGGTGAGGTGAGGTGAGGTGAGGTGATGTGGTGTGGTGTGGTGTGGAGTGGAGTGGAGTGGAGTGGAGTGGTGTGGGGTGAGGTGAGGTGATGCGATGCGATGTGATGTGATGTGATGCATTTCTGTTTCACTGTACGCAGGTTACCATTGACGACCATCCGCACCTTCCAGGAAAGTATGCATCGGTGCACCCGTGCAAGCATGCAGCAGTGATGAAGAAGATAATTGGAATCATGACAGCCAATGGCGTGCAGCCACGTGTCGACCAGTGCGTGCCCCTCACTTCTTTCGCTCGTCTGTTTCCTTCCATACGCACTGTCCTCTGATAATATTCTGCGTTCTATACACCCGTCATATGTTTTGGCGAAGCATTGTTGAGAGTTTTTCTGTCCAGTTCCTGAGCCAATGTGTTTTTGTGTTTGCAGGTACCTCTTCATATTCCTCAAGTTCATCTCATCTCTGGTGCCCACTATCGAGTATGACTACACCATTGATTTTGATATGGGCGGTACGCTAGGCGCACCCGAGGAAGACGGTGAGGATAGTGATGATGATGGGAACGAGAAGCCTAGCGGTATTAGGAAAGATGATGCTGGTGGAATAGAGGAAGGTGTGAAAGCAGCTACAATCACGGAGGCTAGTGGTGGTAACGGGGAGGCAACGAACGCAGTAAGATAAAGAATGGGGTATCCTGGCAAGAAAATAATGCAGTTATTAGGTGAAGGACACGTAGAGTGGTGGGTGTTGGACGAGGTATTAAATTACATATGATGATTCTAGTGTTGCTTCATTCATTTGTATTGGCCGTTGCTTGGTGGGATGTACTAGCGTTCTACTTCACTCGTCATTCGTATGCGACCCTGTTCGGAGCAGCTTGTAGAGTGTTCTATTCCACACCCACCACCACCCCACCCACCCACGCGTCCCCAATGCAGCACGCTTGCCGTCTTCGCCAGCTGTTTCTCGCAGATATGCAATTTCTCAAAACCCAATGCCAGCTGGGGCAGAGGGGCGAATTGGTTGGAATGGCGGAAATTGCGGAAACACAAGGTGTTCTAAGAGTAGACTATCTGTGCCCTGTGACTGGAGCCGCCTTCCTTTGTTGAAGCGTCTACGGACGCGGCATGGGATGTCGTGAATTGAGCACTCGCGAATGCGGGTGATTTGAGTGGTCGCGAAGTCAGCAGTTTCGATGTCCTACGAGGCATACGTCAGCTTCCAGAAGCCGCCGTGAAACTTTTCGCTAGGTGCTTCTTCGCCGCAGCATGACGAGTTTTGCCGACGGAATGTCGCGTCGATCTGACGTGTTGGTGCTCTCTTCCGAGTCATGATGTGCTTGCTCGCAACGCCTCGACTCGAAATTGACGGATTTCCATCGAGTCGGCTTGTCGCGAGCATCGCGGCTCCGAATGGTTTTGGCCGCTCGAAATCAGCTTCCCGTCGAACACGTCCTTACCTAGTACATCTTAGTACGTTTACTCGCGGTACATAACCGCACGCACTCCGCATTCTCTCGTCATTCGCACCAGTTGGTCTCCTTTCTGATCTCAACCTCAACTTTCTTAAATTTCCGACGATTCAGTTTCCAACCTCTGATTTGCTCCTCTCCGCCGCATCCCACGCGACCATCATGTCGACAATGAAGGAAAAGCTCGGCGACCTCGGCACGACGGCCAAGGAGAAGGCCAGCGAGGCCAAGGCGAAGGGCGGCGAGATGCTGGGCAAGGGCAAGGCGGAGACGCAGGAGAGTGTCGACAAGGCGAGGCACCCGTTCAGCCACAGCGCGCACGAGGCGGCGGACGCGAAGGAAGCGGCTACGAAAACGAGCGCGGAGGTGGGGAAGGAGGAGAAGGTGGCGGGCGCGCAGATGGGCGCGGCGGGGGAGAAGGAGGCGCGGCACCTGAAGCATCAGACGGGGCTGTAGAGCGCGGGAGGCGGGTGCGCATGAGGCAGACTGGCAGTCAGAAATTGTCAAGGCTGTGAGAGGCTGTCTCGTGCGGGGAGGGGGAGTCTACATGCAGGGGAGGTTGGCTGCGGAGGGCATGTGGGGTGTGGAGCATGGATGATGGGTGGGCATCTCTGAGTGTTATCTGCTTGCGGTTCTTTTTGTTCTTGAAGTGGAGAAGCAGCGTTTCACAGGCGCGGTCTGGCAGCCAGGAGTCATCTCGCTTCTGGTTAAAAAAAACCCAGCAGACTGTGTAGGGGCTTGCGCTCCTGCACATGATGCTGGGTCACGTTCTTTGTCAGATTGCAAATCATTTTTGTTTGTACTTGATTTCTTTGTAATTTGATTCAGCTACTCCTGCTGGGCAAGCTAGTGCTAGCGACACAGACCTGGTATTTGCCCAGCGTCACCCACATTGTGGGTGAGAGTACTGTGCTTACGTGGCACAGGCTAGCAGCCATAGCGGAAGGTGGTAATCCCCTTCTGATAGTACATGGTAGTGGTCAATAGACTACTACGGCTTCATACAAATGAGCCAGCTCCTTACTGCGAAGGGGGGGAGAGCATCCTGCAACGGGGATGATTGCTGTACCTGATAGATGCACGCTAGCAGCTACAGATGCTGCTACTGGTAAATATAACATGTAATGCATATGGTTGTATTGCCCAGTTCACTAGTGGATTTGGTTGGGATATTACTTGTTTTGTATGCGCAACATATTTTACATATTGTAGGGAATTTTGGCCCAAATTGCACAAGTGCTTTGTAGTGAAGATGATTGTGGCCGACATTACCCCTGTCCGTTATTTCACCTGCGAAAGCTTCACATTTCCTAACTCGATGCAGTACGCCTCAACAGAAGTTTGATGCCCTCTAATTCCGCTATCACTTCTCTCGACAACATATCCGTCGCGAGAGAAAACGATGTCTGCTGTGGAGACGGTGATCCTTCTCGCTTATGGATTCACAATCTAGATCTACGTATCGAATCTCGTTTGTTTCCAAGCTTGACGACGCGGATGACTACAGCAAGGATAGCAGCTTCTGCGGCGAATACGACGACATTGGAGAAACTGACGATGACGACGACATCGGAGGGTCTTCTAACGAGGATACGGATCTCGAGGATCTCTACAGAGCGTGGCTCAGCAGCCCGTTGCCCTCCTCCTGGCGCACGCGCCCGCTCAAGCGCGAACTTTCCGCGGAATCCTCTCCGCGGGCGAAGCATCGGGGAAACATTTCAGTCGCGAAGCGGGATGAATCCTCCGCGGAACCCGCTCCCCGAGGAGCAAGTCCGCTCGCAGCAGCTCCCGTTCCGCCAACCCAGGCTTCCGCCTCCGCCTCCGCCTCCCCGCACGCCCTCCCTCGTCCGCCGCATCGACCCCCCTACTCCGTTTTGCTCTCCCCCTATGATCCACACGGTGCTACTCTAAACTAGTCACCAATAGCACTCCCGTTAGTATCACAATCTCCTTCACCAACGAAGCCTCTGGTTTTCCCCGTGCATCTCGAGCCAGCAGATAGGGAGGTTGTTCCTGCGAGGGCACATGACACCACTCAGAGCTCTGCTCCTACGACTGACAATCATATGACGGTTTCTGAGGCTGTTCCTAGGAATACTGATCAGCATACTGCCTCTCCGACTCTGTCAAGACTTGCTGCTCCAACCCCCCCTCAGCTCGCACGGGACTACAAATTCTGGGTAAATCCGGAAACGCGTCCAGGAAGTGGGTGGGTTACTACCACGCGTAGTCCCACAGCGAGAGGGGAAGTCGCGAAATGGAGCTGTCCTGATGCGGCAAGAGACGATGGGGGCTGTGGTCAGGCCAGGGAAACGACCCACGGGGAACCGAGTTATTCCGCAGGAATGACCCTTGGGGAGTGGATGTCAACAAGACTAGGCAAGAATGATTGAAAGGAGAGAGGGTTTCACTAGCAGCAGTTGGGGTACATATAGCAAACCCTAACTGGGTTGTACTCGCTATAGAGCACCCCACTACAGGCTAGACAATAATAACATTCTGACACACCCCCATAGCCAAAGTGGGGTGTAATCAGTACAATGAGCAGGCATAGCAATAGTTCACAATTATAAGCAAAGCTAGAGGTGATCATAGAGGGCAAGTGAGGAGGAGGAGAAACTGTGAGGGCGAGAAGATGAAAGGCGCCGACTGAAGCTGCAGACACACGGGCAACAGGAGCGGCGCACACAGTGGCTACCGAGCGCACGAGGGCACCGGACTACGGGAGTATCTGGCTCCGCGGCTACGACGAGCACACACAGGAGCAACGGACCCACAGGCGACTGGCGAAGCAGGCTCGCTGGGCTACCGAAACGCGCGAGGGCATCCGGACTACTGGCGCTGCTGGCGTCACGACGGCTACCTCCACGCAACCTCCCCCGACCGTCCCACGCCCCTCTCACACACCCCCTGCTGACACCCTAGCTCCACTTCCACGGCACCCCCCTTAAACCCTAAACCCTCGGCTCCCACACACCCACCCCCCTCAGCGGCAGCTGCAGCAGTGGGAGACGGAGGAGGAGGAGGAGCCGCAGGTTACCCACACCGGTCACCCCCATGCCCGCCACCCCCAAACCCTAACGCAGGCAGGAGCGCGGGAAACAGCAGGGGCGGGGCACGGAGGGAAAGGGAGGCAGCGGGGTGGCTCTTGGGCGCCACGAAGAAGCAGGGCGCGGGCCCCCCGAGGGCGCCACGGCGGGTGACGGGAGGGGGGCCGCGCACGGGCCCCCGAGGGCGGCTCGACGGGCGACGGGAGGGGCCGCGCGCGGGCCCCCTAGGCGCCGCGACGAGGCGACGGGAGGGGGCGGCGCGCGGGCCCCCAAGGTGCCGCGACGAGGCGACGGGAGGGGGGGGACGCGCGGGCCCCCAGGGCGCCGCGACGAGGCGACGGGAGGAGGACGACGGGGGGCAGCGCGCAGGTCCCCGGGGGCGCCACGACGGGCAGGAAACCGCCGCGCGCCTCGGGGCGCACGGCGGGCAGAAAACCGCCGTACGCCCTGAGCGCACGGCAGGAAGAAGACGGCGCGCGCCCGAGGCGTGCGAGAAGCAGAATAGCAGCGGAAGCAGTTAGGTGGCGGGCCCACCCACAGGATCGACCCAAGGGGGTCGACCTGCTCTGATAGCATGTCAACAAGACTAGGCAAGAATGATTGAAAGGAGAGAGGGTTTCACTAGCAGCAGTTGGGGTACATATAGCAAACCCTAACTGGGTTGTACTCGCTATAGAGCACCCCACTACAGGCTAGACAATAATAACATTCTGACAGTGGACTCATACCACAGGAACGACAGTTGGGACATGGAACCATGGGAATGACCCCTCGAAAGAGAATCTGTCCACCTGGAGACCCGATATGTCTTGGGTCGGAGGCGGATCAGAGTGGGGATTGGACCGGACATGTGGCACAGTCAGACCGGACGGGAGATTGCATGGCGAACGGGGTGGACGAGGGTCAGTCTGTAAGATTCCTGGCGAGTGGGTTGGTTGCGGATCAGAGTGGGAGTTTCGTGGTGGGTGGGATGCGGAGGAGGGGGAGGAGTGGGCGGTGGAAGGTGGGGAGGAGGCTAGGGACCGAGTAGAATGTGAGCTAATGGGATGTGACGAAAACGAACAGCAGGTGGTGGAGAGGAAAGCGGACGGAGGAGAAGCAGGGATGAGGTTTGGAGCGGAATTGGTGCAAATCGCTGTCGAAACCAGTGGTACAGAACGGTTCAGTGCAAGTAGTGTTACCTGCTGGGATAAGAAGCAAGCAGGGAAGATGTTTGAGTTGACTGACAATGCGGATGGGTTTATAACAGCAACAGGAGGAACACGCACTGTTCCTTCTCCTCCTCCTCCCCTTTTTCCTTCCCTTCCCCGTCTGCCTGCCGCTGCTGCTGTGATTGCTCCCCCGCTTCTAGCTGCTGCTGCTGCTACTGCTGATGGCAGTGCCTGTCTTAGATGCAGCGAAAATTTTGCGGAAAGCAGCAAGAGGATAATCAGGAGCACTTGTTCTTGTCAGGCAGCAGTGGTGGTTGTTAGAATGAGGAATGGATGGTGCATTGATGTTGGTTGGGGTACATATAGCTAACCCTAAGTTTTGTACCCCCTAAGACAAACCTCACTATAGGCTACAACATTTGACACACCCCCATAGCCTAAGTGAGGGGTGTCTAGCAGAACCAAACGAGTACGGTCACAAGACCAGTCCAAGAAACAAGGCTCAGGGTGGATCACAACGTCACCACACAGTCTGAGCACAAACAACAGTGGCCACAAGGCCAGTCCAAGAAGTAACAGAGATATATAGAAAGCAAAGTAAACAGTACACTCAAGTCTAAGCAACACGAGAACCAGTGTCAACAAGGCCTAACTGCACACAGCACCTCTGGTGGTCACAAGGCGGAAGCGCCTTGGTGAAGATGTCTGCAGTGTTGGCCTCGGACTCCACAAACTCAAAGCGAGCCTGTCCACGCAGAAGAAAGTACCTGACGTGAATGTGCTTCACTCTGCTCTCCAGTCGTGGCTCTCGACAAAGGAGAATAGACGCCTTGTTGTCAGTGAACAAGGTCGGTGCAGAGCTCGGCCGCTCACCAAGGTCGGTGAGCAAGAAGGTCAACCAACGCAGCTCCTGTGCCGCCATGGCACCAGCGTAGATCTCAGCCTCAGCTGTAGAGGTCGAGACCGAAGAGGAGCGCGTGGACCGCCAGGAAACAGCTCCAGAACCCAGGCTGAAACAGTACCCCTGAGTAGACCTGTGAGTCTCAGCGTCGTCAGCGTAAGAGGAGTCACAGTGACCAGTAAGTACGACAGACTGCTGCCCTCCAAGAACTAGCCCCACGCCTGACGTCGTCGCTAGGTACTTCGCCACCCTCACAGCTGCTGTCCAGTGAACAGGACGGTGTCTCCCTGGCGCAACAAAGCGCGCAAGAACGCTGAGAGGGAAGGCGAGGTCCGGGCGAGTACAAGTCATCAG